TGGTGAGCCAGGATGGGTATTCTCTGATGTCCACGAACCGACCTATCAAGTACCATGCAATCCCTGTACGTACTCCCTCTATGCCTGTTACCAGCAAAAAACGCTTGGCTTAGAAGCATGAGGTTTGGTAGAATCCACCTGTCCTGGGGCGACGTCACTGAAGAGTCTTTCCGAGAATCTATTTTAGGTAGGATGCAATCTTTTATGTAGTGTCTCTAGGAATTTTGTCTGAGTATTGTTTGTATACTCAAACAAGTTTACTAATTGAATTCCTTTGAAAGATCTTCCTCCTTAGAATATCTTTGTTTTCTGTTCATGAAGTTAGATATTTAATGATGCTCTTTTCACCCTCCCCCAGTCTATATGGTCTCCCTCTTGAGTCTAGGTTTGCTAGATTTTCCCAAACACATTTTATTCAGGTTTTCTGTGGCCTACCTGGTTGTCCTTTTACCTGCTGCCTGTACGTTCACAGTCACCCAGTCTCCTGCTCTTTTCTCTCCTCTTCTCCATCTTAATTCTGTTATTTCTCAAAGGATTATTGTTATTATTTTCAGTAGACTAAAGTAATTATAAAAATTTAGATTATTGAGATATATTAGCAATGATATCAACATTTCTATTTACCACTCTTTATGTTAAGCTTGTGGACCAGAGGTGTAGATGAAAATCAATGATGTAAATTTATTTTAACCTAATGCCGCTGGGAAAATGTTGCGTTTACTTTAGTGTTGTTATGTTAAATGTCTCTGCACATAGATGGCTCTGCCAGTGCTTAGCCACAAAGGAGTCAATTAGAAGATCTTGTGACCTCACCATTCCTTGAGTTGGCAGGAATTTTTTTTTTTTTTTTTTTTTTTTTTTTAATGCTACCAATATTGATACTATTATTTTCATTATAATCATTGTAATTACCATATTGTTATTGGCATTACTAACAGCAGTATCAAATGCTAGAAAATATTATTGAAAATCAAGGAAAAGGGTAAACAGGTGAGACAGGTACTTCTAACTGCCTCATTGGTGACCTAGTACTTGTGGAGCCATCTATTTGTACAAACAATTACTAAATTAATCACAGTGGGCACGTTACGTATGCACATGCCATAACCGTTGGCATGTGGTTAAATTATGCATTTATATTTCTTTCACTGCTACTACATTTTTACTTACATTTACATTTCCTTTATCAATGAACTTTTCAGAAGTTGCTACCAATCCTGAATACCACAGACGCATTTCCCGAATATCACGACTGGTGCACGACCAACCAGACTCCCCCAAGGAACGAGCCGTCTGGTGGCTGGAATACCTCTTGCGGAATGAGGGTGCCGCTCACCTTAACCAGGAGTCTTTCGCCCGAAATCTCTCCTGGCCACAGATATTGCTATTAGATGTGCTCTTGCTGACTATTTTTATATTAGCATTACTTGGACTGATTGTCTGGTTTGTCTTGAGAAGGATAAATTCTTCAGGGAAGTCCAAAGTAGACTAAAGAGCCAGGATTTCTTAATTGTTAATTTTTTCCTTGTTGAGCATAGACTTTTTCTCTGTAGACTTAGGGTTGTGAAAGAAAAGGCAGAGGATGCTTGGGTTTAATAGGTGACTGATATAGCCTACTGTAGTGCATTTATCTGTGAAATATTTGCTGTTTTTTATTGGAGTTTATTTTTAATATTCATGATAATGATAAAAGTTATCTTGTGATAATAAGAAAGGTATTTGTAATATATTATTATACTGTATATGGTACAAAGTACTAGAAATGCAGTACCAAATAAATATTGTTGATTTAGTCTGTGATTTGTATATCCCGCTATATTCCAAATAGATTTTATAAACCTTTTAGAAATAATATGAAGATTTAAAATAACATTGAAATTTTGGAAAGTTTTGTTTGTAGGTAGAAATAGTGATGAGTAATATTTTTTACCAATAAATAGGGCTGTATTGAATCCAAATATTAATGATTGTATTCATGCTTATTAAAAAACCTCAAACAGTCAGTTTACAGATTTCAGTATTCCCTTAATTTACCCCCCATTCTCTGTCAAAAAAGTATTATAAGTGTAACTCAAATTTGTTAATCCTGAATTCTAAGGTGACGCACTCATTTCCATTCAGCTAAAGACGCTGAAGTCACTTTTTTGTCATCTTTAGCAAGAAAGAGAAAATAAAAAAAGGAACTAAAGGAAACAGTGAGAAAGAGAAATGATTATTGATATTTACTCATCAGTATGACTGAATGGTATTAAACATTATAATTGTAGCAATGGCTACTGCTGAACACTTTAGTGAATATAATAAAAGCCTTTAGTCTGTTATCCTTCCTTTGGTCTAGAAAAAAAAGATGCTTCTCTGATCCAACAACCTATCATTTGTGAATTAAGTAATTGAATTCTTGTGACACTTTTTTCCCTCTTTTTATGGCCCTCTGCTCCGTCTTTGTACTTTTTCCAATGCTTTTTCGTCTTCTCCTTGTGGCAATCCATCCACTTACCTCCTTTTATCATATTTTTTCCTATTATCATGAGGTATCCCAAAACATCACCTCTTTTCCATTAATTCTTCCTTGGAATTGTTATCGCAAGGCATTCTTCTTGTATCTATGCCATTCCTCTTTTGTCTACCAGGTTGTTCACATGCCTACCCTGCACCCACTGATCATGCTTGCTAATGTGGACAAGGTTGCTTTTTGTAATGGCAAGAATCTGATACACAGACAACAGTTAATACTTGGGAGTTTGAGATCTGACATTAAAAATGGATGATCACTCTGCATTACACTGCCATGGATCCATGAGTTAGGCATGTTTTTTTGACACAGGAAAATGAATGACCTCATGTGCAGGAGCTGTAAGAAAATGTCTGAATAAACCCAATTGTTCTAAATCATCTCACATATCTAGTTGTACTGAAGAGCGAAGGAGGGAATCACATCACTTGGAATAGTGGTCAACCTCTTAAAATATGGTCTTCAGTATCATTACTCAAAACTGAAATGTAACTGGGATTAATAATATAAGATATGAAGTTTATCATTTGCCCAGCAATATTGTTTGAATAATATTGTTTGAATACTTGTAGCAATATTATTTTATGATATAATTTAGTTAAACTATTGCTCTTTTCAATTTTTGGAAATGGATAGCAGACCAACAACCTCTTAATTATGAACTAATGTCAATGCACATATGAAAGTTTGAGATGGTTAATGGTGTAAAACTATAAAAAAAAAATCCACAAACTATTTTACACATCCCCATATATACATACACAATTATGGTCCTTGATGTGTAGTTTCAATCTATTTTTTTGCATTCACTTAACTATTGTTTCCACAAATAACAGTTTCTAGAAACATACATTTCATGGCCATTTATCACTGATGTCAAATTTCTAGTTAAATTTGCATAAAGTTGAACAATTGCTGACATAATGACCTGTAACTGCACAAAAATGCTTTCATATGGCCTTGAAGTTAAGGATATCTTTGCATTTAGAAAATAGGATTGTTTTCTGGTTAGTATTATGGTATGAGAATAAAATAAAATTGACAATTAAGAATAATGAATTTGGTATTGTCTAACTTGCCTTTTTTAACATTTATACAATTATTTCCAAAACAATATGCAGAGGTTTCAGCTATCTTCTGTATTTACAGATTCCAGACTTACTAATTTGTGTATTGTATTATTTTTACACTGCTGTTAGCAAAGTAAAACATAAGAGCTTTCTTCAATTTTTCTTATGGAATTAGAGAAAAGCACGGTCATAATATAAAATGGAAAAATGCGAGCAAAAGAAAAGATTCCAAAACAAAGCTGCAGTTAGAGAACACTATGAAAAATGATAAAATGACAAGGCTGGACAAGAAAATCTATAACTCACATCAACTTAAAAACCTATTTTTATTAACACATTTCCATGAAAAAAAGTTTAGTAAGAGCAAAAGATAAAGGCTTACGATCATGCAGTTATTTTGATAAAGGTTTAAAAACAGGTAGTATTCAGGAGAAATTTTCCTATAATTAACTTGCTCATACAGGAACTCATTACAAGATAAAGGGTTGAGGAAAAAAAGATATATAAATACAGAACAGATGTATTTTTACTTGGTGTATATAAATGTATATAAATTCTTTTAACGGTGATATAAAGTCAAAATTCAATATTGAAAACATAATGATGTGTATATAAACACCCAAGCACAATACAAAAAAAAAATATAAAATGATAATCCAACTACAAAAGAATTTACATTTCTGCCAAAAACAATTTAACAAATCGCTCTCTAGAATTCCCATAAAATAAACTGTTACAAAGATGCTAAACAATGTACAAAGACTTTATTAGAACTGGACGCGAATCTAAAAAAATAAAGACGCACTTCAGTAGCTAACCATCTTTTCCTTTTTTGTACTTATTCCAAAAAAAGGCCACCTCCTCCCCATATTAACTTCCCTTAAAAGAATTTGCTTATTATAGATTTATAATCTTGAGCAACAAATTAAAATTGTTAAAGTAAATCAACTAGCATACAAATGACGCATTTTCTTTGTGTTTAATTGAAAGCTTTGAGAGAAAATAAATTATTTCTCAATGAACGAGAGAATAGCTGATTAAATATTTATAAGAAAAAAAAAAAAAAAAAAAATATGGTCATGATTTGCATATAAGATCCTCTTACAAGCTTACTAACATTACTATATGCATACATATACATATATACATATATATCATTAATTTAACATCACAACATTTGAGGTCCAGAACGAATCTCTCGGCATTCAGTAAGCAATTCTCATTTGATTGAGATTAGTATGCATCATTTTTCCTACATTTTCTCTTCTAAAACTTTTGGAAATAAAATATTAATATCTTTAGATACCAAATTTAGATTATAGCTGTACACAACTGACTTGAAACCCAACAACAGTTGATGTAAGAAACGTACAATAAAATTAGGTTATTCTTGCCAATAAACCAAAGCTACATCAATATTCATAAATCCAATCAAGTAAAAAAAAATATATAAACAAAAAATTCATCCATACATAATACTTGCTCACTATACAAAAAATTTGTGAAGCAAATTTAATGAAAGTTAAAAAATCCAAAATTAAGAAGACCATTTTTATTATTAACAGCCACTTTAACACAAGTTACAGTGTTATTCACCATTTTGCTTTTGTCCTAGGTCACCTGATAGAGTGGTACATCTGCTCTTTTAAAATCTTAATTGATAAATATAAAACTTCCCGAGGCACTGAAATGCTTCGGGAGAAAATTGGATCTACACGGGTCTGCCCCCACATAGTTCCTGTTCTTTCTATCCTGTATTTTGTAGATTTTTTGTCTTTTTTTTTGTAATTTTTGTGTCAACATTTTTCTACAAAACTAGCCCTCTGGGTTTTATTATTCTTAAAAGATTTATTATTATTATATTTACTTCACTTACAATTCACATGAAAAACATTTCTGTGCATATATGGAATTGAGAAAATCTAGAAGCATGGGAGCAGAGATCGAGATATATGTATAAAAACAATCAAACACGCTAACAAGTTTAAGATAATAAAATAAATAAACTGTAAAAAGACAAGGTCGTTGGAGGACCTGCCGCTCCCCTTGTGCTCTGGGGTCTGGCCATATTCCACCCCCAAGGACATAAAATTATACATAAAAAAAAAAAAAAAAAATCCAATGCACAACCACTTGCCTATGGGACTTTGTGCAGATGGCCAATTCTGCCTGATGGATCACTTTATTTAGCTAAATCTCAAAAGCAAAGCCCCAACACTGGCCATGACAGCAGTAATCCCACAAGCTAAGAGTTGCCTCATTGGTAATTGCAATGTTGCTCTAAAACCATCCATCCTATAGCACTGTATCCTTACATGGTACATGAGAAAATGGTTAGAACCCTGAAAAAAGTGACAGAAGCCCCAAGACATGGCAAGAATTTTAAAAATTATAAAAATAAAAATAAAAAATAATAAAGCAAACTTGTTCCTCTCCAGGCTGTAAAAGTATGCACAGTTTAACAATTTCAGGCTTGACACCATGATTTCCATTAGCCTTTTCACCAAACACCATAAAAAAAGACCCACTGCGCAAAGCCAAGAGCAAGAATGCAAGAGCAATATTCTTTACACATTCATTATGAATGTACACCATAAAGTTAATAACACCCTTCTACAGTACACCACTGCAAAACAACTGAACACATCGTTAATACACCAAAAAGAATTCTTAAAACAAATATAATTCCTACAAAAACAATCTTAAAAACAGTTCCTTTGCCGACCAGCATAGCAATTTCTTGCTCCTCCTGCGCACACAGTGAAGGAGGATGCTAAATGGGAAGCACAAAGTCTCGTGGATGACCATTGTGGAACGTCCAATTGAGTATGGCTTCTACTTCTATGTACAGAGTGGTCGGTAACTTGGCTTAGGGTTTACTTTATCATTCAAAAGTCTAACAGATACTCTCACTTGTATAAAACAATAAAAAAAAGCACAAGATATATCAACTAAAAAAAAAAAAAAAAAATATAATAATAAATAAAAAGGGGATTCTTCAATAACTTGAGGGTTTAACACAAACTCATACTAATAAAACATTTGTGGCTTTTTAAAAAACAAGATAAGGGAAAGTGGGGAGGGGTTAAAGGGGGGGAAACGAGGGGTGGAGGGAATAACAATCTACCACTGTTTCTTGTGTTCGTCCATGCTCACACCTCCCGGGCCCAGTGAAATCAGCATGAGCAGACCACCGATGACTGACAGCGTCTGGAAATAGACAAGAGGAAGTGGAAGAGATCAGTTAAGATGTGGACAAAGTTATAGCAATGCATGTGAATGTTGTAGGAATCTACATCTCAAATAGACAAAAACATGGAAATTGAGGTAATATAATTCAAGCACTAAAATATGGGCATGAGACATATTACAGCCAGTTCCTCATGTGAAATCTATCTACTAACATGAGGAACTGGCTGTAACTTCCTCCGTTTTTGCAACTGTAAAACCACATAAAACCACATTCATTTCTGAAGCATCCACAAGAAATTACGAGAAAAAATAGATTCTGGGACCAATAATACATTGGCTATAATACATGCCCAGAATTTGCATATAACTTGGATTTTAGTCTGACAATATGGAAATCAGTGTACTATTACTATGTACCATAATTCATTTAATACAACTAGTACATCTAAATAAGTTTTTTTTAACAAATGACAATCATACATCACAAAAAAATATCAACCCATACAAAATTTAGCTTCTTAATACACAAAATTAATACATGAATATGCACACTTGCTTTAATAAAACATATTTCTTCCCTCAAAGGGTAAAAATAAAATAAATAAAATAATAATAATAATACATAATGTACAAGCCTTACCTGGAAGAAGTCGTACTTGAGGAAATCTCTCATGGGCTTGTACGCAGGAATGGACCACCACGCATTCACGTAAATGTTGAAGACATTAAGCCACAGCACAAGCAGGAATGCGCTCAGCTTGGTCTTATAGCCGACAGCCACCAGGGCCATCAGCAGACCTCCAATTACAATCTGGAATATCTGTTGGCGAGAAGAGTCAGGTCAGAAGGGATTCCAAAGATATTCATGTGTCATTTTTAGTTATTCAACATCAATTCAATTATGCGATGGTATAGTACATGTTGAGTTATCAATCACAAACATAATTTGGGAAATATGATAGTTTTTAAAAAGCTCTCCTTTACAATATAGAATAGGTCATGTAAAGTCATTCAATACCTGAATATTCATAGTGCATTACCTAAATGGATGATTAATTTCTCCAATTAAATCTACATAGTTGCCACACCAAATTCATGCATTTCATTATCATATTCAAACAGTATTTGGGTTTACAAGCAACATGATCCCTGAACATTGTCTTACCTTTAACAAATCCATTCTAACTTATTCCAAACACGAATGTAAATCTTCCAAATTTACAAAAAGGAAAAAATAAACGGACCACGTGCAAAACCATATTAAATCTCCACCATCCAAACCTAAATCCACCCGTTCCCACCCTACCCACCTGCATCACAGAGAACTCAAATCTGACGAGTGTGAGAAACATGAATACTAGGAGGATTCTGCCACCCAACATGAGGTATGTCTTGGGCTTGTTCTCTCCCAATGAGGGGACACCTGCAAAGATAGACCTCGCTTCCTTTTTACTCTCGGCAAGCACTAGCGCCAGGCCTCCCACCAGGGCCAGGTTGCGGAACAGGAATTGCATGTCCCATAAGATCTGGTATGCGATGGTCTGGGGAGGAGAATATTTAGCTTAGTTTTGGGGATGAGGAAAAGAGGTTTAACAATCTCATATGCAATATGTATATTTCTAATTAAATAAAACAATAAGAAAAATAAAACTTGTAACAATTTCAGAACAAGTAGATCTCGACTAGCTTACAAGATCAAATCACTGAACCCACCTGCAGGACCACAATGAAGAGCAGGAGTCCACACGCGACTTCGACCTTCTTGCGGAAAAGCACCATGAACACACCCCCAAGCTGCCCCACCAGGTTGATCACCACAAACAATGTGGCAATGAAGTACCCGCAGCCCCATGAAATATCCATGTATTCCCGCTGCTCGTGCCATTGCCACCACATACGCAGGCCATCCTCAAGGAAGGTGCTCACCAGACATAATCTGGCTATGTGCGGCAAATAGTTCTTACTGTATCGCAGGAACTAGAATGGAGAAAATTAGGATTATTATTTTCTTTAATAGCATACAAAAAATAATCATTTTGCTTTCGACATGTATATTAATCTCACATCTATGCACATACATTCAGAGGTTTGACAGACTGCATGGCTTGATAAGAATCTTTTTAATGGCAATTCATTATCCACACAAATATCAGTTCATTATTCAGAAGGACACTGCATGAAACAATGCCATGGCCTACTCTAAATGCATTTGGCAAGACAGCAAAGATTGGCTCTTAACTGCCAGAAAATTAACAAGGTTATTAAGCTCTAACTCAAACATAAATGGTGTAAATTTTTGGGTAGATTCACAAATTTTGGAAAGGTGACTGCCCTCACTAACTCAGTCTAAATTCTTATTTCTGTAATCCTAAACAATTGTTAATTCTTTATCTTAATGTTCTTCATAACCCTTAACCCATTACTGCCAGTACATTCTGAAGCCGAAAATAAAAGTTTCTGGGCGGTTACAAAATCGGCATGCGAGCCCCGATACAGCGTCACACTGGCAGGACACCTAGTAATTTTTTTTTTTTTTTTTCTCATCGTCCACCCATTGTTACTGGGTTAAATCAATTTTCTCAATCTTTGCACAATCCCATCCTCTACATCTAGACTATGTACAAAAATTGCTTTAAAAACAAATTGACATATAATACATGAAGAATGTAAGAAAGAAAAATGAAAGAAAGAACAAAAGAATGAGAAAGAAAAATGACAGTGAGAATTCTCAATTTCACTTTCACATATCAGCTAATGCTCTCTGTCCTTATCAGTGCATATGTCAAGGTTCTACTATAATAAACATGCTTATCCATCTTTATCAAAATATCAATGAATAGATTAAACAATTACAAAATTATATATATTTATCACAAGACTGATACAAAAGATACATGTCTTATTCCCTCTATCTTTTTTGTTACATAAAAAAGAAGGAAAAAAAAAAAAAAAAAAAAACTTCCTGCTTCAAGACCTAGGCCTTCAATTTGTTGCACTGCATAATATCTGCAATAGCTATCATCCCTAAATAATAAGGAATGAGCAATATCTCTCACAAACAAAAAAACACGTACACACTTTAATCATAAAATCTGTTCCATTTCACCATTTGCAATGCTTATTCTCTGAAAATGAAGTCAAAATATTGAGAAGACTAAACCACCAACTTCACACATTTTCAAAAACAAGAACAAAAAAATAACTTTTTCGACACGCTAATGATAAAACCATATTCCTTTCAGTTAAAAGCTAACTTGCTCGTATTTGATAAATTAACTAGAATATGCAGTTAACCATAAAAAGCACAATACATCTCAAAATACATAAGAGTATCAAAGTAATGGGAATTCAAGGGTCTCTGATGCCAGAAGACGGTAAGACCCCACAGCATTTCCGACCCACAGGGGGACATGGCAACCTTTTGAATCTGTAAGCCTAGATAATGCATCACCTGGACTCCTATCTGGGCATGCCACATGCACCAAACCTGTCCTTAGCTGTGCGAGCTAAACATTTGTTCCCTCATTTGTCCACTATTGCAGTAATTGGCGAGTTACAGCCTTTCACAGGAAAATATGCGCTACACCCAAAATCAAAGACAATAAGAGTTATAAATTTTCCAAGTATTTAATTTTCCCCGAGATTAGTTGGCTATGCACAGCACCTGGGGCCGGGTTCACTAACATTCGCTCATACTGTATTTGCCAGTGATTCACTACTAAAGTGTTTACCAGCAATGGAAAAGCGAGATTCATGGAGATAGTAGCTCACACAAGTTAAGATCATAAATTGCTCTGTTAAAGCGTTTCAAGAATCTGGGAGCGTGAAGCTTATCTGGCCAATCACATAAGTAAACAAACTCCATAAAGCACGATATTTTAATCATAGCTGCAGGAATGGCAATTTACAAGCTTATATATAAGATGGGTAGAACATTTGTAAACAAATTTGAATTATATCTATTGTGTACTGCTAAAAACCCTTCCTGGTTATTTACCCTCAACATAGGAAATAATACAAACCGTCTTCTTAATAAATCATTATTTATCATCAAACAAGGAACCAGCCCATACATTTCATATTATCTACTTATCTATTGTATCTACTTATTCATCTATCTTTAATATCAAACAGCGACCCACTCAAACTATGAAACTGTTCCAAATTCGTTCTTGCCAATTTTGTTTAGGGTTTGTTGTCTTTTGCCAAAGTGCCGACAGATGTAGGTGCTGCTACAATCATCTGCCTTTGAGACTGCCAGTTTATGTAACAAATTTATGATAATTATGTCCATAGAATATGTTTCACAAGTTTACCTATTTATCAATTCCATATATATTTATCATTGATTATATTGCCAATATATATATCTAATTTTATGAGATTCTGTGTGGATATTCTTGTTAATTTCATGTGAATTTGGCCTCTTTCATGACATGCTAGCCATTAGTCTAATCATAACAGTTATGAATTTGAAAGTTTTGCTTTAATATTGATTTTCTGAAGAGATACCACCTGCTGATATTATTAGTGGATTTACCTGTCCTCCAACCACTGGTAAATTCATGACAGTCTGATGGCAAATTGTGTGCAAATACCACTATTGTTTATGATCATACCTTTAACTCCGTGATTTTACCACTAAGTAGGTTACGGAATCCAGAATCTGCATAGTTACCCTATACTAGCTTAGTCTGGTTAAATCTATATAAAAAAAATTCTGAAAACTCACTGGAATTGAAGATCTTGTGACTTATACAAGACAATTATAATATATGTTTGCAAAATTTCCCAACCTAATAATAACCTCAAAAAATATATCAATCCATCTTTATTATCACACATTTCACAAATATTCACACTTTTCAAAACCCAACGTAACTACAAATTGCCCAAAACTTGAAAGAAGTCACATTTCACAAGCTTCAAAATTCACAAATCCCCTTCCTCCAGTAACAAGAAATATGTATTTCCTCGATAAATATCCTCAAATTCAACTGGAAAGTGTCTTAGTTATGATAACGGACTTAAACTTGTAAAATATTTATCCCTTTCCTGTTATCATGCAGACAATAACAAAACATCTGGTGTTATATAACATGGCATAAAATCCTTATCAAAATACATTTTAAATATGATTTCGTTTGTCAATGCTGTATCAATCAGTTTTTTCTTTATCAACTGACCCAATTATACATAATAAACAAATTTTCAAATATTACTGAACATACACACTTGAGCACTAATTCTATAGTTATTTCTCGTAACATTACAAACATTTACATTTTTTTTCTGTGCCTTCATTATCAAAAGTTTTTTCTTGCTCACACATGAAGCAAACATTATTAGCTTTGATATTTTCTTTCTTTTCCATGTAACTGTCTAAATCAACCAATCGTCTAGATAAATCCATCCATTTTTTTTCCAACGCGTGTCACTTTGGCCGCACAAAACATAGCCTCCTTTCGGTACTTGTGGAATATAAAAGAACGAATCCAGCAAAAGACAACGATAAGATTCCTCCCGACACTGTGGACTAGTGGTTCTCGTCCAATGCTGGTTTTCCTCAGAAACCATCGTCAAAATGAATTTGTGCCGCTAATTCAGCCTCCTTGCCACCCAGACGGAAAATAAGGCCCAAGATACCTGCAGGGAGGCCCCTGCCCCACACTTCCCCCATTCCAACAGGTCTCGGAACCTCCCCTGGTCAGCAAACCAGGTCAGCTGTCTCCATCTGTCAAAATCTCAATTTACACTTTGCACCTACTTATCAACCTACACCATGGCAAAGAACCCCTAAAAAGCCTCATTTCTGCCTCTGGATTAGGTCTCGGAGCCCCCTCCAGCTCAGCAAAGCAGGTCAGCTGTGTCCATCTGTCAAAAAAAAGAGAGGGATGCGAGGCCCACGCGAGCGAGCCGGCCCCAAATCCCTCATTTCCCTTCTTCCCTGGCCCTGAATCCCCCCAAAAGCCCCCTGGAAACCCACTGGGGATCGGCCCCGTGCCCCTCACCTGGTCTGCAAAGTCCTCCGCTCTTCCCAGGAGTTCATTTTGGTTCTGCATTGCGCGAGCGGCTGCTGCGTCCTCCTCGACGGTCCTCCGGCGTGTGAGTGTCTCCCTCTCGACGGCGCCCTAAAAGTCCCTCTCAACTCGCCTCTTTCGGGGTCTCCTGCCCTTATTCTCGGGTTTTTTCTGGCTCTCTCCTCGACGAAGGGCTAGGCGGGCGTGGCAGAGGTGCACAGCAGGCCTGTCCTCGGGGGGTGGGTGGCGAGTGCGATTTGCGGGGCGGATTTTCCCCCTTCCAACTCAGCGCCTTTCGAAAAGGGTTTTGGGTAAGCCGACCGCCGCGCTCGGGGACCTGATTTCGACTAATTTCCCTCTGGTCTTGGCAGGGCGGGCTTCCTCGCTGGCTCTCGGGGCCTCTAAATTTTGCTCTCGATCTGGGCTTTGTTCGGACTTAATGGTCGTTGCGGAGAAGCCATTCAACAAGTGGTCGTTGCGAGATAAAAGTGGTGGTAACCGCCGCAGCCATTCGCTTGTCTGCCACGTTAGACGTCCAGCTCGACGCGCCACCTTTGAATCTGCGGGCGGGGGTTCGGAACCTGGTGTGGCCCTGTTTTAAGGGTTTCACGGGGGTTTCCAAGGGGTTTGGGGGGTTGTTCGGTGGGTGTGAGGGAGATTTTATGCAATAGATCTATTCTCAAGTTGAAATAGAGATAGCGAAATTGTAAATGGGATTTATACGAGAGTTTCGATGGGTTGTTATCCTCTCACGCTCACATATGGAGATTCAGTGAGGTTTATTTGTAGGGTTCTGAAGGGCTTATTTGATGGGGTTGTGGAGGTTTTATTCGGTGGGTTTATTTGGAAGATGGTTTATAGATATTCAAGATGTGTTAAGGGTTCAGTGCGTTTTTTTCAGAGTTCAAATTCTACATACGTACACATATAGAGGTTTAATTGGCTTTATTTCAATATGGATTGGTGGAGTTCAAAGCGGGTAGTTGGTAGTGTTTTGCCCTGTATATATTCGAGAAATACATTGATACATAAGTGTATGTGTATCCGTGTGCACATTCAGAAGTGCACATACATACACGCGCAGACCACCAGTCCCACTCATAAAAACTTTCTCCCCCCCCCCCTCTCGCTCTCTCTCTCTCTCTCTCTCTCTCTCTCTCCTCTCTCTCTCTCTCTCTCTCTCTCTCTCTCTCTCTCTCTCTCTCTCTCTCTCTCTCTCTCTCTCTCTCTCTCCCCCCCCCGTGCGGGTGTGAATATGTGCGTGTTTGTTTGTTCGTGTGTGTGTCTGTATATATGTGTGTGATTGTGTGTGTATGCGTGTGCGTGTGTGTGTGCATGTATGCGTGCGTTTATGTGTGTACGAATGTAAGTGTGTGCGTTTAGATTTGTGCGCGAGTGTATGTATGTGTTTGTGTGCGCGCGCGTGCGTGTGTGTGTGTGGTTGTGTGTGTGTCCATAAAAGGTCAAGAGATTCCGGTTTTCAGCTACCCATTTTCCTGGATGTCAAATACTTGATTTTATCTTTTCTGGAACTTCTAGCGTGTACGAATAATGTATCGTTGAAACTGTTGAAACTGAAGAAAAAGAAATGAAAATAATGATAATAATTTTTCCATGAAAATTCAATAGAGGAAATATATATGTATCAATTTTTCCATGAAAGTTCAATAGAGAAAATATATATGTATCAAAATTATATTCATCTGATATATACATTCTGTTGTTGTTTTTGTTTCGAATATCGGTATAAATTTACGAAATACAACAACAACAACAAAAAGATTAAAATTCTATGATGACTATACGAACACGAATATATAACAGTTGTTGTCGTTTTTGTTTCGAATATCGATATAAATTTACGAAATACAATAACAACAAAATTCAAATTTTATGATGATTATACGAACACGAATGTATAACAGAGGAGGAAATAGCTGAGATTTTATTACTTTTCGACGTCACCAAAGTCCGTTCACAGAGAGAGGAACAGGAAAATGTGTAATATATTGTAACTTTCCTAAGAATAGTGTAGATCTTCGTTTGTTAGGATAGGTAACAAGAAAGTAAGAAAATGAGTTATTTTCTCTTTTAGGTTTTGCATTTCGATCTTTTCTTTATTAAAGTATTTTGAGAATATTACAAACAAAAAAATGTAAACCAAACTTTTAAAAAGTCTCAAACAAAAGATAACTGCAACAATAAAAAAAAAACTAAAACCAAAACAAAAATTATAAACCAAAAATACAAGAAGAAGACTATAAACCAATATAAAGCATCCAAATATAAAACCATCCCCCAGAAATTAACAACAACAACAACAACACACATAGGACCTCCCCCAAAATATCCGAAAGACCACCCCGCTTCTCCTCCATTTCCTTTCTCCTCCATCGCTCCTTCTCCACCACTCTCCACCATTTCCTTTCTCCTCCACCATCCTCTCTCCTCCTCCACCATCTCCTCTCTCCACATTCCTTTCTCCTCTATCGCTCCTCCTCCACCACCTCCTCTCTCCTCCAACATCTCCTCTCTCCCCCACCACTCCTCCCTCTCATCTCCTCTCTCCTCCACCATCTCTCTCTCCTCCTCCACCATCTCACCACCATCTCCTCTCTCCTCCACATCTCTCTCCTCCTCCTCTCCCACCATCTCCTCCCTCTGTCTCACCATCTCCTCTCTCCCCCACCATCCTCTCTCCCTCCATCTCCTCTCTCTCACCATCTCTCTCTCTCCCACCACTCTCCCCCCACCATCTCCTCTCTTCATCTCCCTCTCTCCCCACCACTCCTCCTCCTCCCTCTCCTCTCTCCTCCATCATCTCCCTCTCCCCATCCTCTCTCCCCACCACTCCTCTCCCCACCATCTCCCTCTCCCCACCATCTCTCTCCACTCTCTCTCTCCACCTTCTTCCCCCTCTCCCCACCACTCCTCACCATCTCCTCTCTCCGCCACCATCTCCTCTCTCCTCCCACCACTCCTCCGCCCCACCTTTCAAGCCACTTTCACCTGGCGGCTGAGATCCCGTCTTGCCTCTACAGGTGTGCAGTGTCCTTCTCCGGCGACAGATGGCGTGACGGATGCGGCGACTCTGCCTGCGCTAAGACAGGTGTGCTGGATGCGCTTCTGGGGGGGGGGTGTTGTGTACACGAGTTCGCAAACACTTGCATACTTAAGTACATATACAAGTGTGTACATGTACTGTTTGTATGTTACATAAATGAAAAGTATATATACATTCTCTCTCTCTCTCTTTCTCGCTCTTTCTCTTTCTCTCTCTCTCTCTCTCTCTCTCTCTCTCTCTCTCTTCTCTCAATCTATCTATCTATCTATCTATCTGATCTATCTATCTATCTATATATATATATATATATATGTGTGTGTGTGTGTGTGTGTGTGTGTGTTGTGTGTGTGTGTGTGTGTATATTATATATATATATATATATATATATATATATACACATATATATACATACATATATATACATATATATATATATATATTTATATATATATATATATATATATATATATATATATATATATCAAAAACAATGATATTGTTTGGTTTGCCCGGGGACCCATCATGAACAAGGTCAACACTGAGTCAGACGAATGAATCTGGGACTCGATCCGAGACTTACTTAGAACTTAGTCCGGTCCTGTTAATTAGAACCGAGTCCTGGAGTTAGAGTTGTGGGAAAACCTCCCACGACTCGACCATCAAGCCATGCCATTCTTCCACCAACACACTTGATGTTTTTTTTATTTTGTTGTTTGGAAAGGCAAACACAATATAGATCTGCCTTTTCTCTCTGTTTCTCTCTCCTCTCTCTCTCTTCTCTCTCTTCCTCTCTTCTCTATCTTTCTGTGTATGTATATGAGTTGGTGTTTTAGCTGAAAGGGTTTGCTGCAGGAGAAGGTGTGAAAAGTTAATATTTTTTTCGTAAAAAAATCCTGAACTGAAACCATTGCACGCCCCGTGGACCACATTACCCTTACACACATGATGGTCCTGGGCAAACCAAACAATATCATTGTTTTGGTAGAAAATATAATATAATAATTATATACATATACACACACACACACACACACACACACACACACATATATATATATATATATATATATATATATATAATATATATATATAGAGAGAGAGAGAGAGAGAGAGAGAGAGAGAGAGAGAGAGAGAGAGAGAGAGAGAGAGAGAGAGAGAGAGAGAGAGAGAGAGAGAGAGAGACAGACAGACAGACAGAGAGACAGAGAGAAGAGAGAGAGACAGACAGACAGACAGACAGAGAGAGATCCGTATACACATACATCCGTGTTTCTAAACTACAGCCTTATCTAAAGAAAGTCCCTTTAAAGCCCCAATGGCCTTACAACTTCAAGGTCATATCTTATCGCAACAATAGACTCGGGTAAACCGCTTGCCTTGTGGCGCGGGGCCGGAGTGTCAAGGAAATTAGCGTGCGTGTGTGTCTGATCGTGCACGCACACATATACAAGTACACACAAATAAATAAACACACACACATAAACAAAATCACACACACACGCACACCAACAAACAAACACACACACATACATACACGCAAACAAACACGCGCACACTTGCACACACAAATACACACACACACAAACAAACACACGCACACTTGCACACACGCACGCACATAACATTTAGACACCCATCGATATACCCATTCAGCACCTACAAGCCCCATGCCCAGCGCAGTTCCCGGGGGCATTCTGGTATCACCTCGATCAGCTATCGGCCTTCAAGACGTGATAAGGACATGGTGACGTTTGGCATCGAGACCAAGGGCATCGGAGGGGGGGGGAGGGGGGAGGAGGGGAAGGGGGGAGAGTTTGAGGAGCTGTCTGTTCATTATTCTGTTGTCTTTTTCGTCTTTCTCTTCTCTCTCTTTCTCTCTTTCTCTCTCTCTTTCTTTCTCTTTCTCTTTCTCTCTCTCTCTCTCTTCTCTCTTTCTCTCTCTCTCTTCTTCTCTCTCTCTCTCTCTCTCTCTCTCTCTCTCTCTCTCTCTCTCTCTCTCTCTCTCTCTCTCTCTCTCTCTCTCTCTCTCTCTCTCTCTCTCTCTCTCTCTCTCTCTCTCTCTCTCTCTCTCTCTCTCTCTCTCTCTCTCTCTCGCTCTTGAATGTGTGTTATGTGTACATATGTGTCTGTGTTTGTGTGTGTGTGTGTGTGTGAGTGTGTGTGTGTGCACGTGTATGTATGTCAAGTCACTTCATATCTCATTGCTTACACATCAGTAATCCCAAACACACTGTTTCGGACCGAGAGTATGTTGATGATGCAATGATTGATTTCAGAGATAAGGATAAGGGAAAGCGGGCCAACAGAACCGCTGCTGACGTTTGATATAACGATAATGATATATGCGAAGCCCTGCTAAATGCGTGTGTGTATACTTATATATATCAATGTATAAGTATATAATATATATATATGTACATGTATATATATATATATATATATATATATATATATATATATATAT